AAGACCAACGGATGCAGCTTTAGCTTCTGCAGCAACATGCACAACACCTCTTTGTTCTCTGGCAGCAACTCTCACTTTTCTTCTTTGTTTTTTTATAATAATTTTCTGGGTATTTTTAATCCGTTTGCAGCAGCTCTAGGGCTCTTTTTATGGAATGTTTTCCAGTCAAAAACCGACCCTCTATGTTGCCTCTTTAGGTTTCTTTGAAGGCAATACACACAGCCACTTGTGGCCTTTTTGCAAACCAATGGACAACCTCTTTAGGTTTTCTAATGCCATCCAGTGCAGCAACTTGATGCAGTTTTCTGTTATTTAATTGTTGGGAATTTCTCAAATTTTCATCCTATTAGAGTTGTACTTCTAATTTTGGTTGTAATGACAGAGATATGTTGTGTAGCTTTTGATGTGGTTGGTATTTTTTAAATGTCGAAAAGATGGGTTTATGTAGATTTGATTCTATCTTAAAACATATGATCTCCCAATTTTTTTTCAAATTTATGCTTTTATTAGGATGAGTGAATAGCTTATCTACATTTAGAATTGAGGTTGATCTACGATATTAAAAGAGATCAAAAAAAATATAATTATTAATAAGCAAAATATAAGTTTTATGTGTCTAAGTTACATTTTAAAAAATTATGATCAATCAAAAAGGCTTATAAATAATAAAAAATAAATCTTAAAATGTAGTTAAACTTAGTTTAAATTTATGGGGCTTTGACTATTAAAGTTGAATTTTCTTCATCTATTTATTGAAATGTGTCTTCACAAGAATTTTCATTTAAATGCTTTGTGGAGCATGTATGCAAGGTGCGGGTGTGTTACGAATGAATTTAGGCTTTTAGCTTAGTGTGTGTTCATATTTAGTACTTAATTTTTTTTTTGTCCACGATCTATTTTTAATTTTTTTGAATTATACAATGTCTTCAGGCGTGAGTTATTACTAGGGAGATTTCAACAAATTCATCCGACGATTTCAAATAAACTCATTCAATAGCCACTAACATTTCTCTCAAAACAATTCATATTGAATTTTACCTTCTTCTCACTCTTCATTCTTTCTTTGGCAGTGGCGGAGGGAGGAGAGGCAAGGACCTAAGGTCACCCTAAATATTTTTTTTTAGTTATATATTTTTTTGGATTAATTAGGCCCACTATAATGATTTATGAAAAAAAAATTAATTGGATCAAATAAGTTGGGTACTAGAACAAAAAAACAAAAACAAAAACAAAAAATGCATACCAAATTTCTTAAAATTAACAAACTAAAATTGATTCCTTAGAGTATTTGTATAATTTGTTAAATCATCATTTGGTTAAAAACTTATGAAATATATAGTCAAATATGAGTAAAATATGGAATTTGTAAGAAGATTAAAAATTATAAAATATTAATTTTATTTCACTAAAGTCATAACATTATAAATGACCAAACGATTTTCAGCTTAATGAATGTTTATATTAATTATTTGATTATTTCGTGTTTAAGAACTACGTACAGTGTCTTCCGATAGGTGACATAGAGCAAGTTTAGATCTTTAGTTCTATGCTTGATTATTCAATGTTCGATTTTTTTTAGTTGCATTGTGCCTTCAAGCACGAGTTATCCTTATTACACTAATATACAAAAAACACACAGACTAAAACACCACCCATGACCCAAGGGTCGACCAACGACTCGTGTGTTGACCCGTGACCCACGACCCACAACCCATGGCCTAACTCATAGCCCACAATCAAACCCAAGCTATTATGCTTATTTTTTTTTATTAAATATGTTTTAGTTTTTTGTGTTAGTATATGTGTGTATATTTTTGGTGTATTAGTGTGTGTGTGTGTATGTGTATTTTAGTGTATTACTAATGTGTGTGTGTGTGTGTGTGTGTTTTGGTGTACTAATGTATCTATTAAGAATTTTAATTATTTTATAGGTTAATCGGTTTAACCCAATTCGTTATAAATTCAACACATTATAACTCATTTACTGCATGAGTGAAAAATGAATTAGATTTATTTTAACCCAATCCAATTTAACCAACCCATTTGCCACCTCTACTTATGATGAATGGGAGTATAAGTATAATTTGATTTATTTTTAAAATTGAATAGGTTCTGTCACTAGGTTAAACTCTATGAATTATTAGGCTAATTTTGATTGTTATTTAAGGTAGTTATGTGTTTTGATAGATGGATCATCAATAATTTTGGATTGCTTCCACCTACAGTTTACTCGGACTACCTCTAGAGTCAATATTGATTACCACTTGGAGATGTATATACTGTGACCAATGTATCGGTAGAGCAATTATGATAGACAAGTTTCACTATTTTTTGTGGCGCTCTTTCAATTTTTGGTGATTCTTTCCTTTAGTTTGGACAAAAAATGAACCCCTCAAAAATTATTATTATTATTATGTTAATGAAGTTATTATAATAGCTACTTGCAACATATAAGTTGAACAAGGCAATTACGTTAAAGTTTCTTCCCAATGTGGTTGGTCAGTTATTAGTAACTATTTACTATGACAAATCACAAATAGTGATACCATTTTTTATAGTTGAATTGAACCATAGATGGTTTGATTGGTTTCAAGTTGTTATCCTTATGTTAAAAACACTTGATACAACAACGTAATCATTTGGATAAATCACCAGGTATGGTTTTATTCTTTGAATAAGTAAGTTGTATATACTATTATTTAGATTTTGGCCAATATTTATGATACCTCCCTCCAAAGTTGTCCATTGACTTGAAAGATGATACTTGATAAGTTGGTATTAAATTTGCAATGTGGGCTCAATTTATGGGGCTGTTTGTTTTCATTGAATAAAGCCTTACAGTTTGGTAATATGAGACATTTTTCAGTTCCAAAATCGATTTAGTCAGGCTTGTAGACACTTCAAGAGTGCACATTTTCTTGATATTTTTGTGAAATCCTAATGCGTGTTTGATCACATATGTAAAGTGAGAGTTTGTACTTAATGGTTTTGGTGTTTTCTTGTCCGTCTGCATTGTGGCAATTCTTTTAACTTGGTTGATTCCATTCACAGTTCTGCTTAAATAGTTTAGCAATTATCGTTGGATTGTCAAAGAATTATTGTTGGATTCTCAAAGATTAGTGAGTGACAAGACTTTTGTTGTCAAAGATTCACCAATATCAACAAGTCGTGTTATGTGAAATCCAAATGGAAAATTTTGGGTTAGTGCATATCAACTATTTTCCATGTTCTTGAAGGTGCCCGTAAGTATGAGTTATAATATATATCTAAAGATGCCAAAAATATTTTCTGTTCATTCAATGATCAATTTTTGTACTACTTTTTCTAAAATGTATTGGTTCACTTATAATTGGAGGACATACATTAGCATTTTTTTCACCTTGAATGTCCCAAGAACATCAAAAACAATGGTTACAACATGTATTTTAATTTTTTTTCCAAATTGGAGTGTGAAAGTTGTAGATGCTTTTTTCTTCTCTCTTTTGGAGTAGATTAAAATGAGGTAAGAATGTAACTATCACTAGATTGAAGAAAAATTGGTGCACTCTAGCCTTTATATATTTCGGAGTGCCTAACCCCAAGACATAAAAGAAAACACTTTTAATATGCAATTGGAGAAATTTAAGAAAATATGATATATTACTAATATTGTTCTTTTTTCAAATGAACTAAAAAGGTATTGATATTTATTTGTATGAAACCTTTTTTCCAAATATCCTTATTGTGATAGAGGTGCAGTGTTCTCTCAACAGCACATGAAAGTGTGAATTTCTCCGTAAGCTGTAAAATGCCAATCGAAAATGGTGAAGAGAAGATGTGAAAGCCAATGAGAACGTTGTACATATTTGTTAGACAAGAACATGGTTGGTTGGTTGGTCGAAACAATAAAGACTCAACGGCCGATGGAAGTCCTTAAGAACAAATAGAGAGTTCTTGATACGAAAAAGAATAAAGTTATCTAAGAACATCTCTAAAGGTACTCTTTAAAATAGTTACTCAAAATATATTAAAATATTATATATTTTTATTTTAAAGAGTCATTTTTATAAAATTGATCTAACCATATTCTCTATTTTAACTAATTATTATTAATATTTTAAGTTAAAATATTGCATAAACAAGTCATCAAAATACAAAATGACTATTACCTTGAAATATAAAAAGAATTATTTGACTCTCTAAATATAAAATAACTAGCCAAATATAAAGAACCATTTAGTCAAAATGTAAAAAAGTTAGTTCTTTGGGAGTATAATTTTATGGTTTGTCTCTTTATTTTAGTTAATAAATGCCAAATAACTAGCTCGTTGAAGATGTTCTAAGAATTAAATGAATAATTACAATAACTTTTGGTGCAGTGTAAGGATATTGTGGTCTAGGAAGAATAGTGTTTGCGTGAAGCGCGTGTGTACTAATTAATAAATTTGAAAATATTATTTTTTAATATATTTATCTGAAAATAAATGTGTGTCGGTAAATAAATCCTGTTTTTGATGTTCGAAACTGCGTCATAGGCGGCGGCTTTCATATCGAGAGTGAGAGACAGAGAGAGAGACCGACTAAAAGAGTCAGCGACTTGGGTCCTTTAAGGTGCGTAGTGCGCACCTCTGTCTCTTTTTCTCTCCCTCGCACAGGCACACGAACCCAGTACACCCACACACTTCTGTGCATCTATCTGCACCGAAAGTGGACTCCTCTGTGCACTATATACGTCAATCGCTCTCTACTTCGCATCTCTCTCTCTCTCTGCCTTTCGAATTCTGCCCTCAGAGATAGATAGATAGAGACGAGTAAAAAAGACGAATGTTTTGCAAAAAGCCAATTCCAAACTAACGCCCCAAACCAGCCCACAAAGCCAAAGCCAAGGTCTTCTCTCTCTCTTCAAATCTCTAATGCTAATATTCACAGAGCAAGAAAAGCATCAGCACCCCTTATTACTTTATTATATGCTTCTTATTCAAACTTGATACTATTTTGTGTGTGAACAATTGAGTAAGACAATGAATTCTGTGGCTCTTGATGATATAATCAACCGATTGCTTGAAGTTAGAGGCAGACCAGGGAAGCAAGTGCAGCTTTCGGAGTCTGAGATCAAGCAACTTTGTTTACAGTCCAGAGAAATCTTCTTGCAACAGCCTAATCTTTTGGAGCTTGAAGCACCCGTCAAGATTTCTGGTATTTTTCGATTAGGTGTTTGTTTTAATGTGATTATTGTGAAGTGGGTATTGTTTGATTGTGATTGACGTACAGGTGATGGTGTCCAGGTTTTTGGGTATTGGGCAAACTAATTTTTTTAATTCTGGAATGTACATTTGATTTCCTTTTAGTGCTGACTAGGGTGCATCTCGGCCAGAATGGCCAGGTTAAGAGGGCAACACTAATTATATGATGTTCAACCTTAACTCTACCTCAACCCGAGTTACTCAACCCGAGAATTGTCCGAGTTTAATTTAGGTGGGCTCGGGTTGAATTTAGACTAATTTTGGATTAAAAATTGGGTTAGGCTTGGTTACTTAATTCGGATTAATTTTTTGAAGTGTAAATTTGATTTTTTCAAGTGTACATCTAATTTTTTCAAGTGATTTGCGATGAAGGACGAGGCGTAATTGATGAGAGAGAAAGGAGTGACGAGTGAGAGAGGGAGATTGAGAATCTAAGATGATTTAGATGAGTGACGATTGAGAAAGGAGGCTGAGAGAGGGAGGAGTGACAAGTGAAAGAAGGATTTGAGAGTGATGAAGGCGCAAGGGTGAAGACTTGAGGGGAAATGAAAATCTGGACTCTAAAGAATGAAAATAAATAATAACTCTAGTTAAATATATTTATATATTTATGTATATGCGGGTTCAACCATATTTAATAATCGGGTTCAACCCGATTTAATATTCGTGTACAACCCGACAATCCGAGGCTTGCCCAAATTCAATTCGGGTTGGAGTTTTTTTGTTCAGACCCAACCTAAGTATTAAAAATTTTAACCCAAGTCCTATTTTTTTCGGGTTGGGCTCGGGTTGAATTCGGGTTGGCCCGCTCAAGTTGCACCCCTAGTGCTGACTTAATATTTGGATAATTTTGCCTCCTAAATCATAGTATTAGTACTGGTTAAATTGTGTATTCTTAAAGGAATTCTGTTGAATACTGATGTTTGATAATATACTAGATTGGCTGTTTTATTCGGATTTGGTATGCTCGTCGATGTTTTTTCATTTTGTAGGGATGCTATGTGATTTCATTCCCAAATATTTTTTTGGGGTGGAATTCACATTTTCTGATATTCAGCCTACATAAACTGGTAGCATTGCAGAATTATAAATGTCGAGTTTGACATTGACATGCTTATGGGGTCAAATTCATGGATGGAGAAAGTATGTTTGACATAATAGCTTGAGAGTTTGTGAAATGTGCTCTTGGTATGTTCCGAAATTAAGTTTATTTTGCCAATGGGTAGACAAGTTGCTTGATTTTATTTCCATTGTTGCCAAATATGGGGTCTGATTAGGAAAATCTAGGTTTGGCTTTATGTTTGTTCGTGTGCTCTGTGGCTCAAATTGATTACATGTGCTGAATGTAGGATATTTTTTTCTTGAATATTATACCAAGAAGTGCAACCAAATGTTGCAGAATGAAAGGCTGAATGTGATTGATGTTTGTGAAGGCTTCCTTTATTTAACATGTGACATACTGGCTGATGTAATTTGGAGTTATTTGCCTCGAGTGGTTTGATCATTTTCTTGTTAGAATTTGTTCTAATTCCTCGCTCGCGAAATGTTTTCTAGGCATTCATGTCCTAGTTTTACAGGTTGTTGGTGTTTCTATCTTTCTTTTTTTTTTTGGTTGTTGTATTGATAAAGAATGTTTTGAGGTATTCATGTCTCTAGTTTTAGGCTTTTAGCAGAGTTTCTCTCTCTCATATTCATATTGCCCTCTGCCCATATGAGGCTTTTACTTGAGCCGATGACATCAATTGGAACACCTGGAGAAGTGATTCTTTTTGTTGGAGAAAAGATACATTTTTAATTCTTGATTTACTGTACTTTCTACCTACATTATACCTATTTATTCCGAAAGATAGCTTCTGAGGATAAGCTTTAGGTGTCTCTCCTAAGTTGAATGGTAATATACTTTTGACTTATCTGGAATGTATTTGTGACATGTTGGTGTGGGATGCAGTGATTAGAACTGTTTCATTGCTTTTATAGAATTAGGGGATATGATATGTGGACTTGTTGCTGGATGGGTTTATATAATGACATCAGAAGTAGGTTGATTTTTCCCCTAAAAATCTACCCAGTGAAATATCCTTAAGAGAGTGTAAAGTAAACCTAAAACTTTGCTCTCTTGATTGGATATGATGCCTAAACTGAAAACCAGTTAAGGGTATATGAATGATCTAAACCGGAAAAGGACACACACCAAACATAAGGTGCAATGTGATTGACCCACTAATAGAGCTATTGATATTCAGAGAAATGGTAGCAAACCAGAAACTTCAAAAAGAGTGCATGAGATGATGCTTCAAGCAAAACACAGACCCTAAACTGCTAATAAGGCTATTGAAATTTTCAGGATCAACTCAAGTAATGACCTTTATCTTTTTTTGTGTGATTATGATTAACCACTCACAAGCAGAAGATTTTGAAATTTGAATCATGTATTTAAAATGTTTGGTATTTTGTCCTGTTTGAGGTCATATTTGGTTTCATTACCAGTTTGCGATCGGCATTAATTGCTGTTGTTCCTCTAAGGCAACAATGTACAAATGAAAAGTTTAGTTGATCATGCTGATTATTTTAAAAATGTGCAAATGAAAATAATTTCAAGGATATATTGCAAATCCAACGAAAACATAGTAATTAATTTGTAAATGAGAATGTTCTATAATGGATGTGCACTTAGGAATGATTTTGTACAGTGTATATCAGTTACATACCAGGGGCCTGTGTTTAAACTAGCTTCGTGTTGTCAAGAGTGGTTCAGTGCCTATGGTGGAAGCGTTATGAGATAATGTTAAAGTCTTTTTTGGCTAGAAATTGGTGATTTTATACTACATCTACATGTGCTTCAACCTAGCAAATCTTTAGTTTTTCAAGTGTTGTATCCATTTTTGGTAGTTTACCTGTGTACTGTATGCAGTGTGCATTCATTATTAATGTACATTGTTGAAGTCATCAAAATTGCCCAGTCTCCCCTAAAATGTATGAACTTGTTTACAGTTATGCTGGCACATTTTAAGTTTGCTGCTCCTTCACTGGTAAAGACTAGCCCAAATACATGAACTTGGAAGTTCCTTATGTGCACTTTCTAATGTAAATTTCTTTGCTAAATCGATCCCTCTGTTGATCTGTTCACATTGCCAGTCTTGATGTGTTCCCAGATTCAAAGTACCTTATGGAAAGCAGGTTTGCATTGATTTTTTCTGTGCCACGGAAGATGCTCTTCGGTGAATGTTGTATACTTGTATCATACAACTGAACTTCATTGTCTATGCCTCTCATTTTTGAATATTTGACATCATAGGTTAATAGCCAAGGACATTCATCTAGTTTATGCACAGAAGAGAATCATTGGACTTTCTTAAGGACAACTTGTTGATTGACATTATTTCCTAAAATATAATGGATTTGTATTGTTCATCACTGCGAATTTATTTGCTTTTATTGTTTTATGTTTTTTCTCGAGATAATCTGAGTACCAATGTAATATTTATTTATTCTTTTGAATATTTTGACAGGAGATATTCATGGTCAGTATTCTGATTTGCTGAGGCTTTTTGAATATGGCGGGTTTCCTCCTGATTCCAATTATTTATTCTTGGGGGATTATGTAGATCGTGGGAAGCAAGGTCTGGAAACGATATGCCTTCTCCTTGCATATAAGATAAAATATCCTGGAAACTTTTTCCTTCTGAGGGGCAATCATGAATGTGCTTCTGTTAACCGTATATATGGATTTTATGATGAGTGTAAGCGAAGATTTAATGTTAGACTGTGGAGAGTATTCACTGATTGTTTTAATTGCCTGCCTGTGGCGGCGCTGATTGATGAAAAGATACTCTGTATGCATGGGGGACTTTCTCCTGATCTGCATAATTTGGATCAGATAAGAAATCTGCCACATCCAACTGATGTTCCGGAAACTGGTTTACTTTGTGATCTACTATGGTCAGATCCTAGTAAAGATGTTAAAGAGTGGGGAATGAATGATAGGGGAGTCTCCTATACATTTGGAGCTGATAAGGTGACAGAGTTTCTTCAGAAGCATGATCTTGACCTTATTTGCCGTGCCCACCAGGTTCGAACAGAATTTATTGTTTTCTTTTTTCCCCTACTATTGAGTATCTCAGTGTGTCTCTTTGGTTATTTCCTTGCAGGTTGTGGAAAATGGATATGATTTTTTTGCTGATAGGCAGCTTGTAACTATATTTTCAGCTCCAAATTACTGTGGAGAGTTTGACAATGCCGGTGCCTTGATGAGTGTGGATGAGACTTTGATGTGCTCTTTCCAAATAATAAAGCCCGCAGAAAAGAAGCCGAAGTTTGGCTTTGGGAGCACAACTACTACAAAAACCAAGGTTTATCATCCCTCACCAAAAACATCTGTTTGTCCTAGTTGCAGCGTATAGTATATTGGATCCTAGGACATTTATATTTTGTCTATAACTGATATAGGACATAATTGGTTTAAAACATAGATTGGATATAATATTTTCAAAGAGAAGTGAAACTAGAGTATACTAAACATGACAAAAGAAAATTTGGAAGAACTAATGGAAGGGTAGATCAGTTTATGAATTAGAAATTCTTCATTACGAGAAACTCTTAAATTTATATAATGTGCCTTTTAGGGTATTCATAGCCTTCTTTGACTTACAATGATGTCCTGTTTCGTTCATCTGACGTTGGGCATGTACAGTCCATATCCCTCATCTGTACGTCCATTGTCATGCCCATGCACATATGGTGACTTGCTTGTTATGTGGAGGAGCTCGAGTTTTCTTCCAATTCTTAGCCTTGACATTTCATGCTCGTTCTTTTCTGTTCCTTTTAAATGTAATCAAATATGTTTAAATCAATCAGGCAAATCTAGTTCATCATGCTTCTTCTTCCTCTCTTGATTTTGGTCTTTCGTGAAACATCCTTCTGGGTTCTTTGGATTGTCGCTCGCAATCTGTTATAGCCATTCAGATTGGATGTATTGTCTCACATGCTTGGCTATTTCACCATTATCGCATGAAGAATCGTTGAATCATTTTATATTACAGAACGGAACCTACGGATGTGGGTTTGCACAGCTACGTTACATTGGTACATACAGATTGCATCATATTTATGCTTTATAGAGATCTTGACGTCGTCCTTTCCCTGGTAGATATTGTGTTGACTGTCACCGATATAGAATTGTATATCTCTTCTTCTGTTGAAATTTTAATAGTAAATTTCTCTCGTGCAGTCATTTCTTGGTGCAAAAATAGGATAAATTTCTTCATGTGGTCAACATATCTACGGAAAATGAGATGCTTCATCGTGGTGTTCACAGCAAAAGGGTGGATATCGGAGAAACCAGAGGTTAACTTAGTATGAGAGAAAGCAATTTACTGCAAGTACAGTGCAGAAAGAAGAATATAGAAGATTTCCTTCCTCTGATATCGACCAGAAGGTTGTAATAATTTCTCTCTCCTTTATATGTATAATACGCGCAGCTATGGTTAGGGGCTGGGATTATTCTCCCTCAACAATTGCCAACCTTGTCACATTGTAATTAACAATCGGTGTTGGTGCAGTCTGGAAATTAGTGGGAACCAAATCAACCGGGAGATGTTCCTTGTTCAACTGTGAGTCCATTTCTTTTTTCAAATACTACCTGTTTGAGAAAACTGAACACTGATATAGATTTCATGACGACTCTGCTTGTGCCTGGCTCATCCTTCGTATTGAACAAAAATGATCATCATCAGAGACCCAATCAACATTAGAAATCAACTTAGCCAGTTGCCCGAAACTCTACGATGTATTTTGGCGAATCAAATCATGAACTGCAACACCTTTCTATTGCTGGTTTGATGTTAGTCTTGCTATACGAAAATATTGTTGGATCTTCAAAACCTCCCTATCTTGCTGATCCAATTTCTATAGTTCCATTTCAAGATTGTCCATTCAGACGAAACTGCTCTACTTCCATGTACACTCCACTTTCCATAAGCAAGCTCAAGCTTCTCTACGTCAATGCTCACTCCTCACAGTTCTTCGGAATTTTGAATAATCTTCAACATCGATTTACTCCCAGCAATACAGATCAATAACAGATTGCTTCTTCCAAAGAATGCCCCATTTGTTTTGCTTTCAACAATCCAATAAGTTCCTAGGGTGAAAAACCACTTGTCATTCCACCTTACGGAACCAACATTTTAGATGCTATTTCACATAAAAAAAAGTTTCTCTGTTCCTATGATCTCTATGGCAAAGTCTCGTATATGATTATCTGGACCAATAGTTTTGCCAATTGTTCATCAATTCTTGTCCGTTGTAAGGTTTAAAGGTGTTAATTGAGTCGAGCATTCTGAATTTGGATACGTTTAGGCTTGCCTAGAGTTTTTAAGAGATGGTTAAGCTTGGATATCGGGCCTAAATATTTGTTCAAGTTTGGTCTCGAATACTAAGCCTAAATCTCTGTTATGACAAGAATGATTGTTTGAGGACCACTTGTAAGGACTTGCCTTATTGTCGTGTGCTGGCCCAAATTGAAGCCTTTTATGACACTGAGTGTCTTCAAAAAAACAAAAAAAAAATGACTTCAATGATATGGGCAAGACTCAATTTTGGGTCGTCGTTTAAAGTGGACCACATATTTGGAGTGACGATAAGTAATTATTCACTTACATGATATGTTGCAAATTTGAGCTCGGAAATTATTATTCCTGAAATTAGGTTAAGATTGTTTATCAATTATTTTTAAGAAAAATATAAGAGGTAGTTCGAGTGATAATAAAAATGAATCGTAAATTGAGACACGTTGAATTAGAAATTTTGGCAATCCCACTATAGATGGAAGCTTTGGATACTGCGGTATGGCCAAAGACCTTTATTAAATTGCATTGGACCACAAGTCTCTTTCTGGCATGGTACAATGACGTTGTTACATTGACATCACCGTTGGATCCCCCACATTATTAAATTGTATTGGACCACAAGTCTCTTTCTGGTATGGTTGGTACATTGCGATCACCATTGGATCCCCCACATTAGTGGGTAAAAGTCTTTTTTCGAATTGATCAGTTGATTTGAGTCGAGTATTGAGTAATTTCGGGAAAGATTATGGTACCCAAGGTGGTGTAGCATCAAAATTTATAATTTTTTTTTAAAAGTATGATCGATCATAAAAATATTATAATTTTTAAAGATTATTATAACTTGTAAATCATTCATGATGGCCTCAAATGACCCTGGCCTTGCTATCCAAAGCACTTGTATTTCAAGTGTACACACAAAGAGGAAATCGTATTTGAACACATTCCCTGGACTATAGTCTGATTGTGATATATATTCATCCAATATAGTCTGATTGTGATATATATTCATCCAATTTCGTACGCTATAATCTAGCGACAAATAAACGCGTAGACGTGTGTGCAAGTACCATGCATAGACAAAGAAATTCATTCGGCGTAATTTGGGAGGGGTGCGGGGTCTTTCTTTCTTCTCCAATTATATTTCCTCTTATGCCCTTAGAACAAGACTGTTTGAGAGAGAGAGAGGGGGGAGAATCTTCCTCTCGTGAACAACAGCCAAACGACCTTGACATGGCTTTCAATGCAAGCCATAAATGTTGGGACCTAACATTAACATTCACATGGCATTTCTTTGTCAAAAGCAATAGTCAATCTTTGTTTTTTTTTTTGAACGTTCACACGCTTGTGCGCACCATTTTTGTATATTTTGATTAATTTCATCATCGGTCCAGTTAAAGGTATACTATTCACATCAGGATTAATAATATAATTTAAAGAGTTTAAATTAAATTAAACTCTTTGAAATCGGGCAATTTTTTTGGTTTCACAATCAAGTTGTTCAGATCAGTTTATGAACAACTTGATTATTTTTCTTCTCAATCAGGTCAAAAACAGACTATTTATGTTGGGATTAGTATATTCACGAGAGATAAATTTTTCATAATTTTATTTTAAAAGATTGTTAAGATTCAAATTTAAGACTTGTGAAAGTAGAATTAATTTTTATTCACGAGGTTTTCCCCGGCGTCCGTTGACCGACCGACCTCAAGAGGCAAGCAAAGATATACTCGATGTGAACTCAGTTGGGTCCTACACGGTTTCGAATCTGAAACCAACTGCAATTCAAGTCGTTGCCCCTCAAAACTTTGACTGACTTGACTGTTCGATATGGTTAGGATATCAGAAAAAATATCGCTACCGTACTGAAATAATGCATCGCCAAATTTTTATTTTTTTATTTTTTTAATTAATGGTCAAGAGTGTTTGAATTAATTTACATACATCTCAATTAATTTTTTTTTAGTTTAGTCAATGTAGGTGCCGAGATTAGGATATACATAAGAAATAAATCTCTCATGATCTGACTCTAAAGAGTTTCAAGATTCGAATTCAAGATACCTGAATTAACAACTTATTCTTATTACCATTTAAACAATCCCTTAAAATTGCCAAAAATTCTATTGATTCACTTCTGGTCATTCTCACGAAAATAATGAAGTAATATGAAATAATAAAATAAGAAAACTTTAAATGGGTTATGATCTTATAGAAAAGAAAAATAAAAATTTGTAACATTGCAATGAGAGCACAAGTCCTAAAATTATAGAGTTGCATGTAATTTTATTTGAACGGGGTGTTATATTTTCATGTTTTTTATAACTACCTTCTAAATTCAAAGGTATCTCAAACAGTAATAGAGGGGAGTTATACTTGAATATGTTAGCTCAGTGTGGATGATCTGTCTTTGATAGGACTGAGGAAGAAAATTAGTTGAGATATACATAACTTAGTCCGGATACCTTGATCCTTGAAAAAAAAAACTAACTTCTTCTCATTATTAATGTAATACTAGCAAAACTCTTGTGATGTATATGATTTATAGATTTACTAGTCATAACTCGTGCTTAAAGGTACAATAAAACATTATATCCCACTATATTAAATAGCAATTTTTTTCCTTCATTTATTTGATTACATCATTTAAATTTTATTTTTATCCATTATTTTTAAAAAATATCAACAATTTTTTTTCTCAACAGTGTATGAATAATGTCTGAAATAAAAATTATGTGAAACTATAAATTAATTCAAAGAGTAATACTAGATGAATTTAAAAATTAGAGTTGATAATTTCAACCATTGAATAAATAGTGAGTCAAAAAAAATAGGTAATGGGTCCGAATAAATGTTAAAATTTACAGTGAAATCAATAATTGTAATTATCAAGTCTATTTGTAAAGTCTATCTAATATTACTCTTAATCACATATTAAATAATTAAATATGTGATAAAAATGAGTGATATGATATTTTTTAGGAGAAAAATATATAAGAGATAAAAATTCCAAGTTGTTTGATATTTTATTATATAAATATTCTTTTTGTTTTTTGTTTCCCATTCAGCTCTCCCTCTATCCCATCCTATCAGACCCTACTCCACCCCTTCTTGGGCTATAGTCCCCACCCCACCCCACAACAACAACTTTGAACTCAAAACATTTGTAAGTTTATTAATTTTGCTATAAGGTGTGAATGCTTCAATACTTGTTCATATTAAGAAAAAAAAAAAAAATATGATACTCACTGAATTTCTTATTTCAGTGGTTATGCATTTAGAATGAGAAACAGGTGCATCAACTTGCCCTAGAATTCAAATGCTATATATGATAACGGTCAAATTTCACTGCTCATGCTTGAGCTCAATGTTCTTCGTTCTCATCATTTTTCCTCCACTTTGACACTATTATATCAGTATCTACAAAAAAAGGCTCATGATTATCCCTCTCTTCATTTTCGCCGCATTCAACTACCTACACGTCTCTTAGGTTTTAAACTTGTCTCTACTTCAAAAGTAAGGCTCTGTTGAAGTAGATCATGAATTATCCTATTGTGTATAGTATTAATTGAACAACTTTGTGTGGGGGTAAGTGAACGACTTGTGTATTAATTGTGCATCTTTGTGTTAAAAAAAAATTGAACCACTCATGTATCCCACATCGGTTGCACAACTTGTGTCTCTGAGGTTTCTAAACTAAGCATTGATAGTGTACTATTTATATTTGAAATAATAATCTATTTTTCTTTTTTTTTCCCCCTTCAATTACACAATTTAAAAGTAAAGTGAACAGAAAAAAAATAAGGGAAAAATAGGGGTGAATTACTGAGATTATCTAGAATTGAGGAGTGTGCTGATTGAATTGTTTGATATTAGAGATAATATAAAGAAGATGATATTTTGGAACATAAGCAAAAATTAGAATGAATTTTGTATAATTAGATCAAAGTATATGAAAATTGAGTCAATTTTGACCGTTGTCATGTTTTTATAAATTAAATATTTAATTTTTTAAGTGTGATATTAAATAGATTTTTCGATACATTTAGCATGGTTGTTACAAGGAGCCAAAAAAAATACAAAAATATAAAAATACATTTATATCATTTTAAATAAATTATAAAAAGGATTGATCAAATTGTGGCGCAGGATTGAGAAATAGTTGGCATGCTGCAATCTAAGACCACCTAAAATTGAACTGAACTATTTAGCATTTGTATTCTGACTTCTGACTTCTGACTTCTAGTCTGATCTCTTGAAGTCAACTAACAATGGTTGCTCATTCTTAGCCAGTAAACAAAAAAAAAAAAAAAACATTTGGCTGCTCACCATTCATGTTTTTCTCAAACATGTATTTATTGTAAAAATAAATAAAAGATGTGCTTCGAATATCATACGATTCCACTTGATTGATTGACACCCCTATTTCTTATTGAAAACTCAAAAGCCAATGGAGCATTAAGATCTTATCCTTTATCTTGAGTCTTTTAAAACAAAGTATTGTGATGGTCCATGTGAATGAGTCTTTTAAAACAAAGTATTGTGATGGTCCATGTGAATGTTTACATAGTGTATTTTTTACCAAGTTATTTGAATGTTAAAGTAAAAAAATTCAACTACTCACAAATAAATGGCAGGAGTAACTATGACTCTCTGAAGTAGCTAAATGCCTCGCCATCTAATTAGTAACATGCATGAATAGATTAACAAGATTTTCATCGTCTCCTATTTATTATCCA